ACCATTGGCAGTCGAAGTTCTTTGAGTTAATTTTACTGTGAAAATAGTAAAAGTTGAGACGTGCTCTATTCATACTTGCTCATCATTCCTGACCCTCAAACAGGCTCTACAAAGCTGAATTTTAACCTTACAACTGAAAGAATAATATCCTAATTATTATTTTTCATATGCAGAAACACTTAATTGGAAAGGAGGTTTATTACTTGGAGTGCTCTAACTTAAGATGACAAAAAAGAAGTGCAACTTGTTTATGTAAAAATCATTTTCAGGCTGTTAGCAATAAGCTGTCTTCCAACAACGATCTGTTCTAGCTAAGTTCCAAGCCTTACTCTTCATATTAAGGCCCTTATAGGTGAATAACGAACCACACGCATTAAATCTCAACTAACACAGTACTAGGACCCTAACATAATGGAATAAGCCCCAGAGATGGATACTTAATAGGCAACATAAAACCCTTGCCAGCCCAAAGATCAATGGCTGCATCATACTCATCCCAAGAGGGTAGAAATTTTCCCAGTTGGCCAATAACTCAATAACTGCATTTAATTCTCTGCTTTGATTGTGTCACTGAGCTACCCAAAGCAGCTTTCGTCAAACACTGAAGAGATTTGATTGGGCCATAATCATACACAGCCAAAGAGTTATGGGCTCCACGCGCTGGCTCGCAATAATACGATAAAAAGAAGGTATTTATTGCCTTCTACCACTGTCCACAGATGGTCACTCAGGTATATTTTTGTGTCAATGGTCAATGGAGATTTTTTTCTTATCAAGAAGAAAATGTCGAAATAAAATATATTTGCTTAAAAATGTTTTGATTTAAATAAAATCTTATAAACATTTTAATGATATCCTGACAGCTTTTGAATATAACAAAAGTTACAGAAATTTGAGAAAGTTAAAATTACATATTAGTAGCCTTTTGTCAGATTTTTTTCCCCCAATTTTATTCAAAATCATTCTTTAAACTTTTCTGACGCCTATCCAGACACTTGACAGCAATCACATACGCCAATCCTTCTGAACATCAGTTACTTTTGATCAGTTTTGGATTAAAAATCAAAATAACCATCTGGAGTAAACTACTAACTACTAAATATTTCTAATAATTTTTTTTTCGAGTTATAAACGAACTACCACACTAGGAAAAAAAAAATTAGCTTTTTGTTTGAACTGAGTGAGAAATAGCTGTAGCCTTCTTTAATAACCAGGGATTTATCTGTCCAATCAATACTTGCACCTTTATCTAATACAAAATTTAACATGACAAGACTTCACTTAGTCTATCAATAATGGTCCGTCTGTTTTAATTACACATTCATGGGCAATAATCCTCTACAATATAGAGGAATTCATTACGAGAAGGAGGTAAAGGCATTGTGGGGGTTTTTATGTGCCTGCATTTAAAAGCAGATACGAGGCATTCTTTTAGAAGCAATAAATATTGTACTAACAATGTTTCGTCCATAGTGTACAATCTGCCATTTGTTCATGTTATTAAGAGATGTAATTTGCTAGGACATATACTACTATTGCTTTTATTAATACTATCATAGACAAATGATGGGATTTTTTTTATATCAAAACAAAATGAGTTTGGCAACTGATAACCATTGTATAACTCAAATACTTCCAACATAAATGTATAAAAATACTCCAGTAAGAAGATCTGCATTATTCATGAGCACACTGCTTGTTGGTAATCCCAACAGTAATATTGACAGCTATAGTGAAATGCAAGTCTCTTGGTCTCCATAACTGTATTCTTATAGTTTGCTGACAAGTCATTAGTACTGACAATCCTGTTATAGCAAAAAGCATTGCTTTTGACATTACATTATGTTAGGTGAACTCAAGCAACTCCTATTTTGTTGTGTTCTGTCCTAAAACAAGTCCGTCAATAATTTCATCCTAAGATTATCATCAAAATATAACCATAAAACAGTTAATTGTTAAAATCAATATATCTTTTAAATATTGAGATAAAATACCTATAAAGGTAAATGCTGTGAGATTCTAAAGACTAAATACTGACATAAAAAATTTAAAGTAGACTTTGGGATTTAGTTTCTATCAGATTAAATAAACAATAATTTTCTGGGATTTCAAGAGATCTGCTGCTGTTTTAAAATATTTTGTGCTAAGACATATTCAACTTTAGTACATTGCAAATTAAACCCATTTTTTTCACAATTAATTTATTAATCTTTTAAAAGAACGACAATAATAAAATCATCATTTTATTGCATGTATGTTAATGCGTTTAAATATCATCCCAATTTTAAGGACATACTTTAGTATATGGTATTTATTTTCTAAATGCAAAAGTATTCCCATCCCTAGAAATATGATTTTCTTAGCATAAAGTGTGTACTCAGAGTGGACTGCAGGCTTTTAAAGGTATTGCATAATGCTCCAGGAACCCATTAAACAGATCGGAGAGGATGTGGAGAGAGTTTCAAACAGAAGGTGCTTTTTGTACTAACGGGCCACATTACCCAGTTTACTTCAATGAAAAAAAAAAAATGTTTCCTTTCTTTAATGGGTGCCAGAGTACCTTCCATCTTGATTCAAAAATCCCCGTGCTTAAATAATTTTTTTGTAAACACTTCACACAATCATTTCTCATTTGTTTTAACAACTTGTATTTGCATCTAAACCAATTCTATATTACTGCAGGCTGTTGGAACATTGTTGATTTACTGTGGAACAAAGTTAATTTTGCTGTTGATTCTGTTTATAATAGAAGGTGGCTTTGGCCTAGCCCGCAGCCAATTAACCCACATTCTTGGTTGGGTAATAACTGACCAATAACCTGATGTCCAAATAAGGGCTCCACCCTGAGGAAGCCAGGTGGGAGTTTTTCCCTTGTGTTGACTTACCTGAAGGATGGCATAGCAGGCAGCTGTGGAAATAGTTACTTGGGCACAGAGAAAATAGTCAAAGCCAATATCACAAATATTGTACAAGAGGCATGTTTTTAGGGCCAAGTGAAGAATATAAGAATGCCAGCAACTCTCTCTGATAGGTGTGAAATATAACAGGAGAGCTAGGGATTGCATAATAAAGACTCTGTATGGCATATGCCTTAATTATCTTTCCTTTCCATAGATGAAAGTGAGATGGGCCAGGGAGTTGAGTGTAAAATGAGACGTACAATGGTTTTTCACATTTAAATAAAAATAGGTTTCGTGTTTTTACCAATGTTTCCACTTCCAAAAATTAGTGTAACAAGGCAGCAAAGCTGTCAAATGGACAGACATAAAAAGACAAAAGTAACAGAAGCAGTTACATTAAAATGGTCTAAAATGATGAACAACCACTTACACAATGAAACTGCACAAAATGTTTTTCTTGTCAATTTGGACTGATGTATTGAAGGCCAATAAAAATTCAAACCAGAAAATTGATGATATGTGGAAGGTGTAAAAAAAAAACTTCAAAACTTCAAGTAAAAAGTAAATAAGGCTTAAAAAAAAAATATATATATATATATATATATATATATATATATTAGTCCTTTGAATCATTTTTGTTAGTTTGAAAAAATTAGTAACACATCTTTCCTTTAATAGTGTTCAGAAGTAAAATATGGTAATCACAGATGCAGGTCATGATATATCCTTTCATTTTTGTAAGCAAATGAATACAATAAATCTTGCAGTAATTAAATATTTTGAGAGAAAAAAATATTCTGAAGTCAGAAAATCCTCTAAATAATCACAACCCTGATAACCTATATGAATGTCATCTGTATAAAAACACCTCGAAACACACACTTGCATGCATGCATGCAGGCACGCATGCACACACAAACACACACGAGGACTACTTTTGAGGCCTGAACTGCCATCATTACCATACCAGAAGCAAATCTACTGATCTTCTTTCCCCTCTCACTTTTACAGCATGACATTTAAGTCACCCTTAGATAAAGTCATCAAGGTTTTAAAGCCAAATGTCACAACATGTGACAATGAAATGTTGGCCCCATAATCAATCCAGTGCATTTCACATGCAAGTGACATTCAGAGTGCCTGAGATCAAAATTGATCAACTGCTGCCTAATGACACATGACACTGCTTCAGTTGTCTAATAAAATTGAGTGGGATTGCAGATTTCCAATCTTTTCACCCAGTTATAATTGTAGTTAGAGTTATGGGTGTTCTGTCACATTAAGAAAAAGTTTTTTTCAGGAAGTATTTACAGCTGTCTTGTAACTATTTTCTGACTCTCTGAGGGAAGTGAAGTAATAACTCACTTAATTACAACACTGCTGATTGAGTGCATTTTCTGAAGCAGCGTTTCGCTGAAAATTACCAAAAAAACTGATCTGAAAGTCCTGTAATTAGAGTTGGACTCAAGTAAGAAAGTGCAATTTTGTTTGAAAAGAAAAAAGTCCTGGAATATCTGAGGAGTTTAAACTCGATGAGCAATAACACTAAGCCATATGACTGCCCCTACTCACGATGCAATACCTGTATATATATCAATGATCAGGGCTGGAAGTAAGTGGGAGGGCAAACTCATAATCTGAAGCAGGTGGGAGGGTTAATTGCACTCTAACAATATCCCTTGTGTGATCCAGAGATTTTATTGTGATTAAACGTCTTAAAGTGTCGGTACAATAGTTTCAGTAAAAATGGTGCAGGATACATGTGGGTTTCATTTGTTTGATTATAGACAGGCTCTGTTTTTTTTTTTTTAATGTGACATATGGTCTGTAACATATCCAAAACATAGTGTAAGATGTGACTTACAACATGTGTAGTATATGCAGTGTGAATGTTGAACCAATGTTGTTGAAAATAACCTTCAAGTTAACAGCTTTCTTCTTTTTTTCCTCCTACTTGATGGCCCTGTTTCAGTTTTGAAGATTCTCATTCATTCCGCACACATTCATAGACTACACAAAATTCAGAAGCTGAGCACATAAACATTCATCATCATCAATGAAAAAAAAAAGAAAAAAAAAAGGCAATACTGTCTCACTCACTTTTCCCTGCATCACCATTCGGATTGTTAACGTCGTTGACGGACTTTCATTGTTATTTACTGTCGTTGTTTTGCCCTGCTCTGCAACCAACACAGCAGTCGTCGCAGTAGTTGCCATGGTAATGGTCTCGTTTTCAAGCACCATATGGAAATATTTATCTTGACAAATCTTCTTCCAATTTCAAAGTCTTACACCCTAAAAAATACAATATTTAAAAGTAAGAAGTCAAATAAGGTCTTAATTTTTTTTTTCAAAAAGTTCAGTGTCTTGCACCTAAAGTTTCCATCTTTTCCTAAAGGGGATGAAAATGATTAATTTCAATGACAAAACAAAATTTTTCATTTGGGCTCTTCTAGACACACATGGAATCCACATCCTGTAAAAGTAACTACAAAAGAATAGAAATAAAGAAATCAAATCCCAATTAAATATTCATGAATGTGCATAATTATGAATGTGCAAAACAAAAACATGTGTAACTACAAAAGTAATAACATGTTGTCAACCACATCACTGTCATTCCTAGGAACTGCGATTGATCTTTCTTGACCTGGACTGACAATTACGGCCTGCGTGTATTTCTGAGAACAGCAAGCCATTATTCCGATAATGAAATGCACAGTAAAACCATTGATATTTCTCTGAAGACTGATATATCTTATCTCCATCTTCTTTCTCTTTACTACTTTTTCCAAATAAAAAAGCCTTCGATCTGTGTTCTCTGTCATATCTAACATACTGTGGTTCACTGCCTAATTACTCATACTTCATTCAAAAAGCAGCTCTTTAAATCGTCAAATTCAAAATTTTTCTAGATCACACAAGGCCTTAATCACAATAACAGAAATACTGAGCCAGATGATTGGAAGTAAAAGCTGAAAAAGTCAGATATTCCTTGAGGTTATTTTTCCACAGTGGATCATCATCTCCTTCATAAGAAGTTTTATAACTCGTCTAAAACAAATAAAAGATGTGATTGGGCAATTCAGAAGTCATTCTGGTTGAATAAACAGTGAAAAGATATGAAGCCCAACATGCATTATATATCTTGAAGAGTAAAATTTACCGAGATTCTAGACAGTTTTATCAAACTGTCAATTCACCTCTCCTGACTGCACAGGAACACAAAGACAGTGATTTTCATAAAATCACCACAAGAGAATATATCAAAAACTGCAAGTGACATTCCTCAAGTTTTGTCCTATCTTCTTCAATCTTCTCCATAACACATACATACCTCCCATAACCAGCCACTTTCCCTCCTAACAGCTTTGTCCATTAAAAGGAAACCTGTCTGCAAAATCTCCAATATCACCTTAAGATATCACACTCAACAAAGCCTGGTTGGCTCCGGCACGGTATTGGATTCAAACCAAATTTCCAAGAAACACACAAGTCAGTTCTTCAGAAGATACAGATAAGATCTCCAGTGACACTTTCACTTGTCTTTTGCTTCCAAACAATCAGCGCTCCACCATGGTGATACCGTGTACCATCATGTCTGGTTAGAGGACGTCTGATTAATCCTCACATATGGCAAATGGCATATAGGGACCTGATATTGGCAGGAAATCCATTGAGCTGCCGAGCAAACAAACCATCTTACACATAGGAGGACTGATTGCTGTACTCCAGGAAATGTAACAGCCTTATCAACTGGCAGGCCATTGTTTCTTAATGGGCCCTAAACAGGGATAAACCATGTTGCCTTTTTTATGCATTACATCAGGAAGATAGATATTTCTTTCTTTTCTTTTTTTTTATTTTGTAGAAACTGAGGCCCTGGGTTGGTTGTCCATTTTCCATGGCACTTAACAAAGAATAAAGAAAAACATTTTTTTTTTTGGGTTCAAATTGACCATTTTACATGACACTGCTTCCTTTTCTGAAAAGCACAGGGAAACATAATTTTTGTATAAGCTAGGGCATTGAGTTAACCCTATTATATGATACCTAATTGTGATTTGAAAAGAAAAAACCCTGACAATTGCTATGTCTTGGCCATATTACCAGGCGCTGCATTGTGTCCTAATAGCCCTAAAGACTGGTTATCAATGGCGGTATTTTATGCAAGACACTGATTGCGCTTTACAAACACAATAAATCATCCTCTCTCCTGGGCCCCCTGGAGTCCACCTAGAGCCTCTGCAACCCAGCAGATCAATAGCCTATAACTAAATCCATAATTCAGATCAATCACTTAGTAATAGTGCCCACCGGGGGCATACTAATGATCCTCTCCAATCCAAACAGTGCAGAGGACACTCCCAGAAAAGCCAACTGTTTCATTATGATTCTATCCAAATTCAAAAATCTATACTGTTATGTAAGCCTTTATTTACTGTGCTGGTGGCTAATACCTGATATTTCTGTGAGGCAGAGGGAGCTTTGTGCCGGGCCTCGGCTGTCAATATGAAAATTAGCTTCAATTGTGTAATGTTGTTCAGATCAATAGAAAAATATTGTGATCAGATTCAAGCAGACATAGGTCGTGTTCACACACAGGCACACTTTAGACCCGATCATATGTTAGTCGCGTTCACATACAAACACACTTGAGACCTGTGTTATTTGGTCACTGAGTGACATCAAAATTCTGTACCTATTTAAATATTAACACACCTAAAAGAAACCTAACTTGTTTCTAAAAAGAGTGAAATCCATTTCGCATTTCTGGAGAGATAACTTTTGTCAATGATATATTGGAATTTGGTGTGTAATTATTCTTGTACAAGAAGTCCACTCTAGGTCTAAATTAGATGGGGTGTGAACCGGACCAGAGTTGGAATCATTTGCTCTAACCTAACAAAGCTTTGTCCTAACTGATTCATAATCAACATTCAGATAAATAAACCAATCAAATGTTCATTTACATGGAAGGCAAGTATGTTTATTCAGCAAGCAGACGTGTGGATGTGTGAACAGTGACGTGGAAATGACAAAGACTGAAGACAAGATTGCTGCAACTGCTTACCTGGATAATAACCATGATATTAATATTCTTTATTTGATTTATTTTGGAATGAATAAATGATTGAATGAATAGATAAAAGAAAAAAACATCAAAGAAAAATTCGCAAAGAAATAAAGACCAAATCAAACAGCAGAAAAAATAATCAAATGCCCATGTTGAGTGAAGAGCACAATCCCCTGAAAGTGAGAAATATCTTCACATTCTCCAAACTCAATAAAACTAGCCACTTCAGCAGTATAGGCTGACCAAGTAAGATACCCCTTTCCACACCAGAAGTTCTCTACATGGTCCATTAAATATAAAGTCAGATAAATTTCTCCAATGACCATCTGATATAATTTTTGCACAAGGAGAAGGAAACCATGCAGGTTTCCTGGCAATCTGATGAAATGAGGTCAAGTAGCATAGTAAAGGTCGTAGCAGAAGTTAACAACTCTACCAGAGCAGGTAAGTTAACAACTCTACCAGATGAGCATTCTCTCCATAAGGAGGAAGAGACCTCTTAAAATGTCCATCAATCACGTTGGTTTGTAATGGATCCTTACAAGTGTGTGCCCCTACCTTGCCCCAGGTGGCTATCTCACTTTCAAAAACAACCAACTACTTTCTTTACGACTTGTTTTCACATGGAGTTTTTACAAATGGAGAAAAACATCTGGAGAAGGAAAATGAAGACATCATGATGACCACATTACGATACTTTTCATCCTATCCTTTCTCAGGCATTGGGAATAGGTTACTAGCTCCAACATTCAAAACAAAAGACTGATTTTTTATTTTTTTCTCTTTTCAAAACATATTTCAAGATGTAGTTATTTGTAATTTCTTCAAAAAATTATAAAATTTTTGAAAGACAACTCACAATTCTGAACATTTGGAAACATCATTTCAGGTTTCAATAATAATAATAATAATAAATTATTTTAGAGAAACAAATGATTTTGTTAGAATTTAGTTAATTCTGCTATCCAATGTGCTTATATCATGAAGGCACTGGAAATGGTCTTTAGCATTCTGTGGTGAGCAGAAACAACTGGCGTTACCGCAGACACATTTGTCCATAAGAGCCATCACGTGAGCTACCGTTACGTTCAGTTGCCTTTTGCCATTTCAGCTCTGTCCTGACAGAAACAGAGAAAAGAAACAAATATGGCTACTACATTATGGTGAAATTTCAAGCAATGGTTCAGCCAAACAAAGACTTACCTTATATATGATAGTTTGTACTGTAATATGTTTTGTTTTTTTTTTAAATTTTTGATGCGTCTTTGAAAGGTCAACAGTTTACTTTTAGCAGCTTGTACAGTAAACATTTTATATCACCAGAAAGCTTAAATCATATTCATCTTAACGATAAGCGGGCTCAACAGAAATACGAGGCATAATTTACACAAAGTGTAGAAAATTGTATTAATATTCTTTGACCTTTTTTTTTACTAATCAACAAATAATCCACTTAATATCAGTATAAAACTCTCTCCTAATACTCCCCAAAATCAGACTTCAATACTAAGAACAACCCACATATTGATAAAGTGGTAAACAGGATATGGTTTTTAAAAAATCAGGTTTTAGTTAATTAAACTGTTCTTGAGTAATGAATACTTTTAGTATCTATCAATATTTGTACAGTGGCACATCCTACTTTTGTCCACTGCTTCATCACTCCTCAGATTTTTCACGTCAAAACACCACATCTAAAAGTGATTGGTTCTCACATACAACACAAAAGAAGTTTCTGAACTACAAGATGGATCTTGAAAAAAATGTTTAAAATATGATCATATGGTTCTTATTGTTCTGTGTTAAGGAAAGACGGATTTGTAGACAAGAGAGATCAAAAAGACATCCAACTCCATACAAGTGTTCTTGATCTTGATGCATTTGAAGTATTCAGTGGCATCTAACGTAAACCTTTCCACACATAAATGTGAAAAACAGCAATATGAACACAAGTTGTGCCTCTGGGTACCAGGATAAAAATAACCTTCATCCAAAGTGTAAATTAAAGAAAGGGCCAACAAAATGTATTTATTTCAATGCAGATGTAAGAGATATATTCAACAAGTTTATTTACACATCTTTGTTGTTACTGTAGTAAAGCCATTTAAAACTGGTATAATTATCATTTTTTATGAAAAATATAATGTGTAAGAGTGACACCAAATTCAAAAGTTATAAGAATAAAGCACATTTATATTAATTGTGTATAAGAGTGCAT